CCATCTGTGTGATCAATGGAATTCATTCTGTTCAGGAAATTCACCCGTGATGGATTTTTCTTTTTTTCTTTGCTGTGTCTGTGCCTTTTTATTTTTTAATTTTTTGTTTTGGAGGGGGCGCAATTTGCTACTGTGGATAAAAGCTTTGACTGAAGCAAAAGCAAACAGATGTTTTGATGTTTTCCATCAAACATAAGTCAGTTTTGGGCAACTGTGTTGTATTTTAATAGTTTACAGAGGAAGAAAAACAGTAGTAGAAGTATGCCAATTCTTACTGTGAGCTCAGTTAGCCTAAAAATAAAGACGTTTGCATGCAAGCAATTTTGTGTTTTTATTTCTTAATACAGTAAAACATTTGCAAAAACCTGCTTGCTGGTGCCAATGCAGGAAAGATGCTGGCATGGACCTTTATAGTGGATACTGTAGATGAGCGACAACCGAAATGTCAGTTTAAAGAAAAACCTAAACAAGAAAAATAGCATGACTGGCACATAAAGTACCAAACAGATGGAGGGGGAGCAGAGTGTGGAGGTAGTTTGTTGACGATTGTCATACATGAAGGGAAATTGGAAGTAACATAAAATCATGAATAACATTCTGGGCCCTTTGACACCTTCTGTTTTGGCAAGATGTGGCAGTCATGGCGTGGCGGGCCAATCTTGCCCCCGATGGAAATGAAACTGAAAGTTTTACACAGAAAAGTTAAATGGAGCTATGGATTGTGTGTGTGTTCAAGTTTATGTTTATGTGTGTTTATGAGTAATGATTTGCTGTTACAGACGTAGCTGCAGCATGACTGGTCACACACACACACACGCAGACAGACCTGATATGAAAGAATCATGCATGTGTATGTGTGTGTCTGTCTGTATCTAATTAAATATAAAAATCTCAGCCAATATTTAACTAACACAATATCGAGCAGCACTGATACCGTTATCACATCTTGGTATCTCCCCTTTTCTCTCGTACCCATCTGGCTTTGCTTCTTTCTTCCTCTCTCTTTCCTCCTGTCCTACACGCTCCACTGTGTTCTGATTATTGGCTGTGTGTGTGTGTGTGTGTGTGTGTTTGTGTTCGTGCGTGTCAGTGTGTGTGTGTACTTGGAAATAAAGCAGGATGGGCAATTTTTGGGGGAGAAAGGATCACAGATGGGCCTTGTCAAATCTCCGTACATCTGGCTTTGTTCCTGTCCAGTTTTCCACATACACATAAAGACACACACACACACACACGTATATATATATATATATATATATACACACACAGTATACCTTACCTCGGTCATTTATATGTATACATGTATGCACATTTACACTTTTGCATGTCGTACAAATACATAGTTATCTAACCATGCACGCACATGTAGAGCACTCATTAATTTACACGCACGTCTGCTTAGAAACACTTGCTCTCTCTCTCTCTCTCTCTCTCTCTCTCTCTCTCTCTCTCTCTCACACTCAGAAACACACACACACACACACACACACACACACACACGCATCGTGCAGCAGGACGCAGCGGGTATGGACTCCTGTTGTGGTTGGTGGTTGCCAAAGTAATGACGCCAGGGAATCTGGACCGTGCCAGGTTCAATGGTAGCCAATGCTACACAAGTGTTAGAACACCTGATTTCAAAGGAACGACTCTGACTTATAGTATAGCACCGCCTATTGAGCTGAGAGCGACTTGCCTCTCATGTCTGAAAATTATATTTATAGTGATGTTTCTTTACATAAGATAAGAGTCCTAACAGTTGCATTTATACACTGATTATTAAAGTTCACAGTAGAAGCTTACATTGTCAGATTACTAATGTAAGAAGGGAGCAAGGGTGAACAGCAACAGCAAGTTAATAAAAGACCAACCAATATTCTGCTCACTTGTTTAAAAACCATGAGAATGGAAAGAAATTATGACCTGAGATCTTTCCCTATTTGTATCACACAATGTTAATGATTTCATCCAAGGGTCAACCTTTGCCTGTGTGTGCGTGTGTGTGTGTGCGTGTGTGTGCGTGTGTGTGCGTGTGTGTGCGTGTGTGTGCGTGCGTGCATGTGTGCGTGCGTGTGTGTTTGTGTGTGTGTCAGCTGCTCGAGGTCCCTGTCCGGGATTGGGACATATGCTTCAAAAAGACTCCTGTGGACACACACACACACTGAGACACACATGCAGGCTTTTGCGCCTCAAGGACACCCATGATAATGGGAAAGGAATAAAAGAGGAAAAAAAAACCTGCAGCTTACTGAGGCTAATGTGCTGATGTGTTCTGACCACATGACCTATCTGTCAGTCAGCAGCGGGTGGTTACAAACTACATTGGAAAATTCACTCTGGCAACATTTCAGCTACCACGTGATTCTTGACCTCTGTGGATGGTAGGCTCCAAAACATAAAGTGCCTTCTGTGACCCCCATGCTGCAGGCGTTAATTTGCATTATGTCGACCTCTAATGTTACATGAACTTACATTTTATTAAAGTACTGATGAAGCCAAGGGAGCTGTATATTTTAACCTACTATTAATATGAAAGAAGTGTGATTTTTTTTTTTCCTATTTTGGAAGTCCTCTCATTGACCCAGACAAGTTACCCTAACCATTAACTGAGGTAGTCGTAGTGTCTTAAATCACATGACCAAGCACATAACATAACTAAATCATACTACTAATTTTAGTTCCACTTCTTATTTTTTCCATTGTCAGCACTCCAAAGCTTTATTGACATTGTACAGTAGACAGTGTTAGTGCAGGAGGACATATCCATCTTCTCAAAAAGTTTGCTCAGATTCTTCAGGGACAACGATCCGAGACAAGTTGATGTCATTTGTGAATGCAGTCATCCTGTGTAACATAAAAATGCCAGTATCTCCAATCTGTCACATTGTTTTGTATGCACAGCTTCTTTTTTTTTTCATTCCTCACTCCTTTTCACTCCTTCTTTTTCCCTCTTTGTCTCACTTTTATTTTGTTTTTTTCTTTTTCTTCTGCCTCAATCTTCTTCACTTTATTCTATTGCTCTCTCGCTCCCTCTCTCTCTCTCTCTATCTCTGTCTCTCTCACTCCCTCTTTCCCTTCGCCTGTCTCTTTCACTCTAATCTTATCCCTACGTGCCCACGCACCATAACCAAACCAGCCTGCTTATTCATGTTGCACTGAGGTATCACTTTATTTCTCTGCTATTATTTTTTTGTGAAGTCGCCTCAGTATGACTTGCCCCAGACACCGCTATGCTGTCCCACCCTCATTATATTTTCACACTCTGCTACCCCAGGACACAAAGATTTACACACACATTTCCACACAAACCCACTGCTGTGTGTGCGTGTGTTTTCTCTGTGCCAGCACAGGTTCAATGGAAAACCTCCCATCTATTTTTGTGTATATAAATTGTGTATATAAATGCTAGTTTGTGCTCTTATTTACAGCAGTAGCCATTCCATTCAATCATGTTCTGCAAATGTTTTTCTACAGTATGCTACTTTCTTGTTGTCTGTGGCCACAATTCCCACATAAAGTTCGAGACACTGCACTGCATGTCTAACCGGTATCAACATGTTTTACAGTTTAACTGACACAGACTGTTTTTTTTTATTTTTTTTTTTATTTTGTTAAAAAGTAACATCCTTTTTGTTTAATCGGAAACAGCCATTATATCACCCTGCTCAAAGCCACCAGACTCCATTGAAAAAACAGTAATTTTACCTTGCAGAACATGGGAGTTGCCAGTCTACTGCTCAATCAGTTAGTTTGTTTCGGTTATTGTGTGAGCTGAATACTTCTTTCATCACTGAAAGTCACACAATAACAACCAAACTAGACGATCTAGGCGGTAGTAGACCAGCAACACCCCCGTGTTCTGCGAGATAAAATTGCTGTTTTTGTCAAGGGATTCTGGTGCCTTTTGAACGGAGTGATATAACAGCTGTTTCTGGTTTAAACAAAAAAGAAAAAGGTCTGTCTGTGTATAAAGTGATTGTAGTTACCAAACAACTCAACAACTGTCATCCAAATGTGATTCAAATGTTGCCAAATCCTGCACAGGGGAAAAAAAAACTGAGATATAAAAATCTCAAATGTGAAATAACTGTGACAGAAAATAGTGTATAATAGAATGTTTATGTAGGATCCCATCACTAATGGTACCCCAAACTCTGCTGTAAAAGAACCACACTCGACTCAACTCATATCAGAGTTTACGATAAGTGATCAGTTTGGTCATTCAGTGCCTTGCACAATATAACGCTGACAAGCCAAACAAAGGATTAATAACAAATACTGAGCGATGGAGGATTAAGGAATAGGGATCAAAACTCCCTCCCATCACAGCACACTCAGTGTTACCCCCTTGTCCTCTTTGGAAATGAGATACTGAACCAAAACCCCAGTAATCCCAGACTCCTAACTCCCAATCTTTGTGGAATGTCTGGTAAATACACTAGGAAATGATTTTTAAAACAGTGAAGGTAAATATATGGAAATAGACTGACAAAGAGCAATATGTCATGTTTGATACATGCAGGTGTAATGTGTTTTGAACGAGAATAAAAAAAAAGTGGTGTATTAATGTAGAGCCCTGTCTGATGCTGAGTCTATCTTTCTTGTATACACGACGCAGCGCTAATGTGTTTGTGTTCATTTCTCCGTGTAGGGAAACTGTTAGGAAACACCATGTACTGTGGTGTATGTTGTGTCAGCTGGATGTAATGCATGTGTGAATTTATGTGAAAAAAGGTGATGGATGTGAGCATGTGTTTATATTAGTGCATGTATACAATGAAAATGCATTTCACAGGTCGGTGAGTCTCGGATGTACACACTGTTTGCTGTCTTGACTTTAATAGATCATTAGCTTCTTTGGATTGCAGTTACAAAATGATGCTGTAAGCATTATAAAGCGTTGTATTCATTATTTGTTTTATGAGAGGGATGTTTTTGTAATTATAACACAGCTAATCCTTTTCTTTTTTCTCTGTCTCTCTCTTTCCTGCTCTCCTCCTCAGTGTCTGACAGCCGAGCAGGAGCAGCAGGAGGTGGAGGACCAGGAGGAGGGCCGGACTCCTCCCAGCCCCGTTTCTCATCCTCCCTCCCCACCTACCTCCCCGTCCAATGCCAACTGAGTGGTGCTGACTCCGCCTTCTTCCTGCGGGAAGCCAATCAGGAGGTTATGCGAAACGGCAGCCTGTCGTCGCGGACGGAGCCCTTCTTTCTCCAACAGCTGGAACCGGGCATCGCTGCCCCGCAGTCCCTGCCGAGCGTCAATTGCAGTTACGGAAACGTGAGCATTGAGCAGCCAATCCCAGTGGAGCTGCTTCAGGGCCCGCCGCCGCATGTGCTGCTGACGACCAACCAGGTGACACTGAACTGGAAGGTCAAAGGTCAAGTGGTGGTGCCCAAAGTAGGGTCAACACAGCCCTGGATACAGGTATTGGCAGTATAATGTTTTCCTTTGGATCTTCATTGACTTTTTACACATGCATCCTCTAATGCAATCAAATAAGGTTTTAGGCCTCACATACACTTAATATGCCAATCGTATAATCAGAAGATTACATCCATTGATTTATCATATGTTTGTCTGCTCATGAATCGACTGCTTGAAGCTCGTTAGCTGCTTTCAGAGGAGATAAAAATGAATCCATTAAATGAATTCAGGAAAAATGGTGTGACAAAGTTTTTTTGTATTCTCTCTAACCTGCCTTTCAATGATTTTTGGCCTCTTGGGGACAGTGGGTAGTTAAAGTTACCGTGTTAGCAAACAGTTGTTTATTTACACAGAAGAAGAAAATGCTTTCATTAGTTAGAGCTGATGATCACATTCATTGATTCCACGATTCATGATTTTGACTATTACAGGCAAGATAACATTCATAGTTTTCGATATTTTTTTTTTAGTCAAGTCACTTGTTGGCTAGCTGTTTGCTAATTTACCCATTATGACATTATATGTATTTGTTGTGTCCTCAGATACTGTTTTACTTAGTTGGGCGGCGTTGGGATGAGCCTGACCCGCCTCCTCCATCCCTCCTGCCATGTGTCAGAGCCATGGCCATCCGGGACACCAGTGAAGCAGCACCCTCGGCTGGCTGCCGACTCATGGGACCATCTGGCATCTGCGTTGTCCGTCTGGAGATTCCCCCAGCTTGGTTTACACCAACGCAAGTGAGAAAAAGACCTCCTGAAGTGACTCTACCCTCGGTGGATGTGTATTACTCAGTTATACCAGTAGAAGGGGCTGGTCAGGAGTGTCCCTTCATTGTCAACGAGCCATGGAGAGGTCAGAGCGCAAATGTCGGGCCTCTTGGAGGTCTGGGTATGGGCCTCGGGGGACAGTGGAGCCCCCTAGTGGATGGGGGTCTTCAGGACATGCTGAAAGCTGGTTCTGTGGTCATGACCATGGGTCCGGTTTCTGCCAAAGGAGAAAGACTGAGACTGGATGAAAATGTGGAGGTTCTGGTGCCGCCCAGCCCAGTCCGGCTCGGCAAGACGGTGGCGTTTGGTATCTACATGAGGACAGAGTCAAACACAGAACAGTTTACATTGAGGTAAGAACACAAATGCTTTCATTGAAGTGGCTCCAGTTTTATTTGATATTCCGTTCTCTTTCGCTGTCATTTCACTTTTTCTTTCGGTTTCTCTCTGATTCTTTTTTTCTATCATCTCAACTTGTTCCTTTCCTCCTCATCTGCGCTCTCTCTCATCTCTCAACACCACCGCCTCCTGAGGTTGATGGCTGTCACCTTTGTATACTCAGCCTCTTTCAGGAGCCAGCAATGCAAATAACAACCTCATGAATATTCATGACTGAAGGAGAGAAGAAAACACAGAGAATGAGAAGTGGGAGAAGGGTGACTTAGAGGGAATGAATGTTGGGGATGCAGGAAAATGAAAGTCATAAAATCAGAGTAGATCCTGGTTTCTCAAACTGAAGGGTGGAACCCAAAAATGGCTCTCAGGTGTGCTTAGAGAGGTCACCCATATGGTACCCCAAATAAGCAGCAATACGTTTTCATAGGCTTGTATTGCAGGAAGCAAATTTCTTTTTGGTTCGCTGGCTGAAAATAAGTTTACACCCCTGATCTAGACTAAGCATGCATATCTGCATCCCATATCTGCCTCACCATTTCACTGACTTTAGGGATTTCAGGCTGACAAATGACAGATGTGCAAATTTATCATTCCCTTCAAAGAAACATCCCAGCACACAACACAGTGGTTGGATATACCATTACTGTAACAACATACTCCTATGAGGTTTGAACTATTGAGAACATTATAGATCATGTTTTGATACATTTTTCAGTATCTCAGTCTCACGTTTGCTCAAAGAAAACCTGACACACACCCAACAAGTCTGCTGACTCCGCTTTTCACATGATTCTTTAGTATTTATCTTTAGATCATTTCCACAGAATCTTTAAGAAAGCAATTTTACATAATGAAAGCTTCACATTTGTGCATATTTCTGCCTGATAATAATAGCCTTCCAATGATATGTGTGAACCAGGAAGAGATTGCCAGATACTTTGTGCCGCCTTTGGAGAATGTCTGATAAAATGCCGTAGTGTCTAATTTTGTTTGACGTAATGATTTAAATGACACACAGACGTTATGTACAGCATGAGGTTTGCTTGGTAGGTGCAGTAGTTAACTAATAGTTACAATCATTGCCAGACAACATTTTATATTATGGATCAAAGTTAGTAGATATTAGTCCACTGTTAGCTGATACTATGCAATAATAATTTATTAGACATAATCAAAGATGCTCTTTACTAGCATAGAAGGATAATCAAAATTCAAGACTCATGCTAAGCCACAGGCTCATGTGATGTGATCATGTTTTTTTTTCATACTGTTCAGTTTTAACACACCATTAAAAAAAAACTTTACCATTATCAACATCTGTCATTGTCCTTGCGCTCTACTTAGACCAAGGTCCTACTGCACTGAAGGCTTTAGTTATGTTCCTCACTTGTAAGTCGCTTTGAGTAAAAGCGTCTGCCAAATGAATAAATGTAATGTAATGTAATGCAATACCACCTGCTCTCTTAAACTGGCTGGTCATTAGAAAGCCTTGCAGTCTTTTGTGCTTTATGAAATCACCTAAATACGTTTAATGTGGATTTGCAGTTTCTCTGTAGCCTACTGTACTTCTAGCTCTTACACACACTGTCTGTCATGGCTAATGTTCAGGAGACCTCTATAGCACAAATAAGTCATACTGGTAAAATTTCAAAGCTGTTTGCGAAGTCAGGGCGAAGGCAGTGGTCAGTAACAGGAAGATAAGACAGGTAAAACAGGTAAGAAAGGCATAATAGATGATAAGAGAACCGAGAACAGGTGAGTGGGTGGGTGGAGAAGAGTCGGGTGGCGGAGACGTGGGAAAGCCGGGGTTACTGCAGGGCAGGAAGGTGTGGCAGGCTCTGAAATGGCAGCAGAGTTAGTAACATGGCAGAGGCAGGCAGAGAATGAATGAATGCATGACTAAGCTGTGACACTTTTATTGCAGAACATTGCATTTGCAAAGTAATTACATAGCACTAGCGTAAGGTTTTTCATATGAACTGAGCGGGCCTCTGTGTGGCAGCAATACACTTGCACTTGTGTCATTGATGTGTGATGATTCAGTGATGCACTGCAGACAGGATATTTGAAATTTGATGAAGGAGCTAGGAGCAAAGGCGGTGGGCAATGGGGGGGTGGGGGGTACTCAAGGTACTGTTGCCTAAAAAGGAGGAACACCTTTATTGGTGTGATTTAATCTTCTGTATATGTTTCCAACATATTTGTTAAAAGATGCTGGAAAAAAAAAAGGAAAGCAATATTATGAACAGGATCACCGTTTCTTTTTCCTGAGGTCTGAGGACACTGAAGGAAGAGAACAAGTGGCTAGACTGCAGTGCACCTTGTCCCACCACCTGCTGACACACACACACACACACACACACACACACACACACACACTTTTTATAGCACATGCACACACACAGGCACTGTACACGCTTGTTTGCTGTGTCCTATATGTGTGTGTATTAAGCACACACACAAACACACATACACTGAAGTGGCCTCTTTGGTTCCCCCTACAGACGCTCTGTCTCTGTCCTTATAGTACAACACCCCTGCTGTGTGTTTGTGTGTGTGTGTGTGTGTGTGTGTGTGTGTGTGTGTGTGTGTGTGTGTGTGTGTGTGTGTGTGTGTGTGTGTGTGTGTGTGTGTGTGTGTGTGTGTGTGTGTGTGTGTTTGTGTGTGTGTTTGTGTGTGTGTGCTCATACCTTTTTACAGTATATACAGTCTATGGCTCATACGCATGTGTGGCATTACTACAGAAAGATAATGGAGGGAAAAAATCACCCTCTTCTTTTTTTTTTTCTTCCTTTAAATTTTAGCAGGTCCTGCTTTTCTATTTTATTTATTCTATTCTATTCTGTTTGTTTAGTCTTTTCCACCTGTGTCCACTTATGCCAATTCTGAAGAATTTCCAATTTAAAAATCTCTAGAATATCTTTCTGCTCGCATCTGAGTTGAATTGAATTGAATTGAGGTGTGTGTGTGTGTGTGTGTGTGTGTGTGTGTGTGTGTGTGTGTGTGTGTGTGTGTGTGTCCATCCCACCTGCAGCTCTTGCCCTCTGCCCCCCAGCACACAGTCCCATGGATAATCTCCCATGTAAGAAGCACAGTCAGACATGTAATAAGGCTTAAGTGGATCTTATTCCTGTACGTGAGCGTGTACATGTGTGTGTGTGTCTATGAGTGTGACACATAATAAGCCCTAAGTGTGCTCCATCACACTGAGGTGATGTGATTATGATAAACTGCTGAGGAGATGGGGCGACACGGAGAGAGGACGAGCGGGAGAGAGAGAGAGAGAGAGAGAGAGAGAGAGGAGTGAAAGAAGAGAAAAAAAGGAGAGGTTGTACTTGGAGAGATGGATAAAAGCACAAAGGAGGGAAGAGAAAAGCTCCCTTCACTTGCATCTGTTCCTCACTCTACAACTCCTCTGAAAGGATGAGATGCAAGGACAGAGGAATCGAGGCAACGCACATTTGCCAAATTGGATTGGGCGTCCTCGCTGTATCACCTGTCACTGGGCTTGTAGTCTCACATAACCACACATGCTTCTGTCACTTTGTGATGAGACTACGCATCTGCAGATGACTACGTAGCTGACACTGTGGTTGTGGATGTCTGAGACATCCAGTTCTGATGAAGTTACACCGCCAAAGTCGTATTCTTCCAGTTTAGTTACATTTCGTGTTTGAGTCACAGCTTCTCCGTTGATCATTTTTAAATGATCAAAGTATTTTCATTTTAATCGTCCCGACCACATTCGAGCCAAATCTCATCATAGTTGTGTCAAGATTTATGTATTCTACTGAACACTGCATTTCTTACAAGTTACCACTGCACTGCTTTGATTCATTTCTCCTTATTTATTCATTTCCTTTCATATAAGAGACATAAAAATGGAAGATGTGAAAATGCATATTAGATGAATCAAATCATCACTTATATTTTGAACAGATTTCATATGTTGAATTGGTTCATTGGCAAGTCATCAGTAGATAATTCAAGTAGGTACATTGTTTGATAATAATTTAAGCAGATTAACACGTTAGAAAAGCGTCTGACATTTGTTAATTTCAGCTCAGCATATAAAATCCTACATTAGAATTTCATGTAAAAAAAAAAAGACACAATTTCGTGGACAAATGTATAAAAACTGGTGCCAAAACTGCAATTACTTGCTCTTGTATTCATATCAAATGATGAGGATGTGTATACTCGGGTTAAAAAGGAAGAAAATGGTGTGAAAAAAAAAAATCCAACTGTGTTTCTCTGGCTCCTCGATGTACAATAACTGCAGTCTGCTGCTCCAAGACCTGTTATAGACCTGGTGCCAATGTCAGCTAGCGTGACAGAATGAAAATGATACCGATAGACAATTAAACATTATGGCTGAAAGAACACAACGGACATGTGAGACGTGTGCTAGATGAGTCTGTAATTGCTTTTTGACACTGGTACTCAAGCTTAGATATTAATAAACAGTCAAAGAACCCTGAAGATAATGGGCCAAACTTAAGTGCACTCTCCCACTCTTTGTGCCTCAGCCAAGATTCACTCTGAGAGGAGAAGATGAAAAGGGGAGGCCTGTTCATTAATTAAGATAAAAACAGAGATGGGAGTGTTTCTGTGCTTATGATGCTATTCAGATCAGGCAATGATTTAACATGATTTTTCATTGATATGGAATGGTTTATTTGTCAAAAAATTTATCTTTGTCCAGCTTTGTTGTTTTTCAGTTACATCATATCAACTCTCCTCCAAGATACATTTTACTGATTTACAGAGGGGATTGTGAACACAAGTAGCAAATGAGGAAAAAATAGAGCGGGGGTGGTGTCAAAAGCAGGCAAGCAGGCAAGGTGGCTGCCATGCAGAACTGTGCCGTAATGTCTTTACCAAAACCCGCTGTATGTCCATTGTCTCCATTGTCATTTTGTTTCCATTTCCTTTTCTACTCGTGTTCTGTGTTCAG